AAAAAAAAAAATTAATGAATTAACATGTATTTAAAATATTTTCAAATATATATTAATCCATTAATCCTTTTTTTTTTCCTTTCATCATTTAGTTTTATTTCATTTGAATTAGAATTATTTAGTTTGTAACGAAATTTAAAGTAGTTCATCGACCAGAGGAACAATTAATGGTACGAATTGGCTTTCATAGTGGTGCAGTAGCAGCAGGTGTTGTTGGTTTAATTACACCACGTTATTGTCTTTTTGGTGATACGGTTAATATGGCATCAAGGATGGAAAGTACAAGTGAACCAAATAAGATACAAGTAATTCGTTTATTTTATTTTTTTTTTCTCATAACACTTATTTTCATTATTTGAGAATAAATTTAAGTTTAAATTTAAATTTTTTCATTTTTAAATAATAAAAAGTTTACAATAAATTTTTTTTTCCAAAAATTTTTTACATTTACTAAAATAAATATCAACAATTAATTATTTAAAAATTTTTAGATCAGTGATCAATCATACAATCTTCTTCATTGCTATTTTCCGGAATTTCAAATTATTGAACGTGGAAAAATAAATGTTAAAGTAATAACTCTTTTTTTTTTGATTTAATTCTAAGCAATTATTTTAAATCTGATGAATGTTTTCGAAAAGAAAATTATCAAATTTATTACTTATTCATTATTATGAAAAAGTAAAAAAAGGAATGAAAAGTAAGAAAAGAAAAAATATGTTAATTAAAAAATTTTTAAAATTTTGATTCAAATCTTTCAGTTAGTTTCATTTTCTTTTCAAAGTGATATAGTTTAGTGAATTATATTTTTCAGGGTAAAGGTGAATGCATCACATACTTCTTACAGGGTAAGGAAGGTGAAAATATACTAAATATATAAAAGTTTTTATATCATTCATGAAATTATTAATTAATAATTCGATGTGTTTTTGGAATTTTTTAATGTAAACTAGATTCAAAACTAATAAAATAAGGAATTAAACAAAAAAAAAGCCAACAAAAGGTAGTAGAAGTAGGATATCTTGTTTAGTATGATTGAAATTTCTCGAATTATTCCAGCCGCACAAAATACAAATACAAATGTGGAAAATATCAAATTCATTTTTACACCTCAATTTCTAATCTTTGTTTACAGACCAAATGCATTTACTTATTAATTTAATGAGATGAAATATTAGCTTGACGAAAGAAAATTTCAAGTTTTATGCATTAACCTTCCCAATACTAATACAACTAATCGAATATTATTTTTTCTGTAGTTGAGTAGTAATGTATGTCTGACTGTAAAGTACAAACAAATTTTGATCACCAATTGATATGTGGAAATGATAAATTGATAATCTTCTCTTTATTCATAAATAATACCAAATTTTGTTATTTTCTCACAATAAATACAGCAGATATATTGATTTAGAAAGAAATTACTTCCTAAGCACGGTAAAAAGAAAAAACTACGAAACTGAATATGTCGCAATAAAAGGGATGAAGAAGACCTTGCAGAAGGTAGAAGAGCGAAAAATGAACAATGTACTTGTGTCATGAAAGATAATGTCCAGATGATAATTTGTGTTACTGATGAAAGGAAAGAATGAATGGTTATTTGGTACGATGCAGTGATAATGAACTATACATTCTAGTTAGGATTTCATAACAAAACTAGGCGATATTTAATATCTCGCAAATATTGCAACATTTACATCATCTTTCATCACTTTTTCTCCAAAAAATTTGAAATATTCTAAATCCTAAGCACCAAAACAGAAGTAAAGCAAACATTACATACAGATATAACAAAATAAAAGTGAACATTTGTTCAATATTCCAGATCAATTCCCCATAAGTTTCCGACCAAATCAAAAATTGTTATACCGCTTGTAATATTCAGCGAATACAATCTATTCTCAAACATAAATAACTGCCTTTCAAGTTTTGCAATTTGAAAGAAAGAAAACTGAGGCCACTGTATACTACACCACTCAGGGTTTACTTCTACACAGCAAGGGTAAACTGAAAAACGAATGGGTATTCGGAGTCAGTTTCTAATAACTAATAAAATATTAACTAATTAACGACATTCTGAGGCAGTACGTTTACGATTCACCCTGTTTTGTCGAGCAGATATTATTGTAAAATCGCCCATTTCTGTTGGCATTATCAAACCATGACCATCCCTACGTTGCAGAAGCTCCAAATTCTAAAAAATAAAAGGTTAGTAATCCTACGGTAGGTTACCTACAAGACTGTCTTTAAATTAACATAAATGTTGTTGTCGCAGAAACAACACTTATAAGAAGCTGATGATGAGAAAGAAGTAGAGCTAAGTTCGAGACAGCGAACTTTCGTTCATCTTCTCGAGATTGTCATCAGTGTTCTCGAAAGGTACAGTGAAGCTGTGAGCAGCATAAAAGGAAGTCAGAATGCAACGATGGCAGTTCAATAGTATTCAACTTCCTTGGCAATTTATGATTTCACGAGAAATTAGCAAATAACTTTTGTGAAGTTCGAATTCAAATAATCAAAACTAACATTTTCATTACAAAGATGCAAAAGCACTGAGAACGCATTAATAGGACTGAGATCATCAGCTGTCCGCCCCGCCAAATATGAAGGAAGTTGGGCCAAAACCGATGAGAATGTATGCCGACCGGTCAATTTAAAATCTTTTACTGCTACTTCAGCATGCCGCAGCTCACATGTTGGATCATCATTCATCTCCTGGAATGGAAGAAAAAGAATTATTTCAAACTTAAAATTACAATTTCCCAGAACTTTAACACAATGTTGAATATTTGTCCGATTAGTCACTGCAACATATGACATTACTTTATGGAATAAAAATGAACTAGAAACGATTCGATTAGCAAGAATGAAACTCAACCTCCTTCGTTAGTACCAAGGTCATTCGCTTAAATCAAAAACTGACGAAATCATCACCTCCTCTTCCCTCAACTGCATCTGCTCTTCCTCCCTACTCAGCTCAATGCGTTCACCTTGACCATCCAAAGCAAATGAATCTTGACAAGAATCTTCACTCACAATACTCAGATCCTTCAAACCATCCAAAAAATTGAATCCCTGTCGTCGTGCAACGGAGAGTTCAGCATTCAAAGCATCGGCATCAAGCTTAAAAATAATCACGTTCTAGAATTCCAAGCAAATAAAGATGAAAATTTCTTTTACTTCTAAGGAAACTGATTCAAAAGCATATACAGAAACTTACTTTTGCATTCGACAATATAGTACCAATCGCTCTCTTAACAGCTGGTGCATTGATGCGTCGCTGTCTCACCGAATATTTCACACCGAAAATCTGAAAGAAATAAAAAAATTATCCTGATATGTAAAAAAGTAGATTCCACTGAATCCTGATTCTTAGTCCAGATTTCGAACCTGAATTATGACAACATGAGGAACGCATAATGTAAGAACAATCCTTTCTCTTTTGTATATTATTTCTTTTCTCTTTCTTTGTTTATCTTTGAATAGTAATCACCAAATCTCAAGTTTATGCAGACATTTGTCAAGAGAAATCAAAATTCTTGGTGCCAAGCATCTAATAGGATGGAAAGCAACACCTTTGATAGAATAAATATAACCAGCAATCACTTAGTACGGTAAAGCTCCTACATAGCGAATAGGAAAAATTGCCCAAAAAATGACAACTGCATGAAATCATAAGCGCATTACATATGTGAAAATCAAGCATTTACCTCAGCTTCTTCTGCTCCAGAATCAGCTTCAGAATAGAAACTCTGGCTGGCTTTCAATGTTGGCATATCATATGTCGGTACCAATGTCTGTAAAAAAGCTCAATTATAAGCGTGAATTAATAGCTTTATATTTTTGGAACTATAAGTTATAGTTCACCGCTACTCATAAAATCAGTTGAACAACGTGTGCTCCATATTATATAAGGTATCCTGTCATTCAAAGTCGTACATGTATCACCAGCACATGACAAAAAAACAAAAAAAAACAAGCCTTTGTCAATGATGATGACAATAAAATGGCATAAAAAGCATTGTAAATATTTAATTCAATTACGACAATGATAAAAACATGCTTCGATGATGAGAAAACAGAAAGAAATTCTAGTAAAGATGATAACAAAATAAAATGTTCCTCACACTGTCATTATCGTCATTATCCTGAGCAGTAACTTCGCTAAGTAGGTCATTATCATTATGGCCATCAAATGCTTCGCTAGCACAAGGTACTGACATTGATCGTTGTTCCGAGTATACGTCATCGAAATAACCGTTGAAACACGACATGTGTTCTTTAATTCTGGAAATTTAACCTATGACAATCTAAGTCACAACTTCCGTATAATTCCGGTTCGTTCAAAATCCTGAGCTTTTTTCAGAAAGAAAATAAAACTAACGCTTCTTCAGGATCCAAATCCTCCCTAATGCTTTGTCGTAGCATTCGTGACATTCGTTCATCTTTGGCATCGACTGGCGCTGACATAGCTCGATTGAAGCGCACATTCTCCCATTCGCCCTAAAGCAAAAAAAAAATGATCAAAACTTGCCAACTTCCAGAATATATATTATAACACGACAAAGAAATTTTGCAAAATGGTAATTTTAATTTGAAAAAAGGGAAATACCGAAAAAACGTGAGCCAGACGACAAAACTGCTCCGGTTTATAAAAGAGATCAGCAGCGACCCGTGTCCGGTGAATCTTCAGGACTTCGTCTTCACGTTTGACAAGTATGGCCGGACGTTTTGTCTGCCTTTGCCTATCTCGAATCACAGCAAGGGGCATATTATCGAAATCACCAATTTCGAATGCTTCCTTTTCCTCCTCTTTTTTGGCCTAAAATATGTTCTATTTAATTGAAGTTTAATTCTTTTAAATATCAAAATTGAAAAAACACAAACAAGTTTTTGGTGCTCTAGCTGCCGAACATGAAAACATGCAGTTTCTTCAATAAATTTATTACTTACTAAGTGACAACTAAATAAATACATTTATATTCAACTGAAACCAGTTAAAGAACTGAGATTTTCCATTATCACCAGCATAGCTATTCGTTATCACCAGCATAGCTATTCGTTCACTTAGGGCCACCCATCTATATATCCTCTCCTAGTAAATTAATCCAACCGTTAAACCTTTCTATTTAGAGTCTGCTGGTAGGATAGGCCTGATTAGTTCCAAATCGTCTATTTTCACCCAAACAAGGTGGTGGAACCTTCAAAAACATGTCCCAATGCGACATTTGGATTGAAAAGTTTTTAGAAACGTCCTGAAGGTCTATGCTTATACCATGGTAAAAACATCACCTTATTTGACCTATCAAACCTTTCCAATAGACCTAGTTATCAGAACCTAAGCAAAGTTAATACTTGGATTAAGGATGGATGGGAAGTCCCGATTAGCACAGGACTTTAATTTATCCAATAATCTGTGAAGTAAAAAGGTCCTTATCGCTCACATACCATAACTTCAGAAGCTTATCTCTGCGTCTGAAATGCACATCACAAAAAAAAAAAGAAAAAAAAGAAAAAAAGAAAAACGTAAAATCTTCGAGCAGTTGAGCCATATCTAGAAAAATGCAAAGCAATGTACTTTTTTCCGTTCGACTTTATCCGATTTCACCGGTGGCTTCCCTTTCGCAACTCCAATATCTTCTGAAAAAAATTCCCTACTGCATAATTTAATTTTCGCAAAATTAATAATCAGATAAATTCAAAATTTTTTGAAGTATGATATAAATTAGTTAACATTGAAGAACCCTAACTACTAACCTCCTTTACCAAGCTTTCGTTTTTTCCAATGTGTTTCATCGTTTACTATGGAATAAGCCATAATTGCAACTCGTCTTTCGTCAACAAAATGGAGATCGCCGTATGCTGAAGCTGCATCCGTACGTTCAATTCTAATGTTGCTTTCTACTCGCATAATTTCTGGCCTTTCCGAAAATTCTGTCTTCAACAATGCAGAATGCATTACAAATATTTGAATCGCAAGTTCTTAATTTGAATTATAAGACTACAAAAAAATGTATGTTAGTTTTACATACCAAAAACTCAGGTACTTCACTGGATTCGAACAAATAAAAGGATCAACGTACCTGCTTAGATGCAAGCGATCGAACGTCATCGGCAACTGAACTGAAGTCGCCCATACGTGATGACGGTGCTTCTGCATCCATATCAGTATCATTATCAAAAGTTGTATTGAATCCACCTGCATCTGTTTCAGAATCAACATCATCCATACGACTTGGTATTGTCAAACGATCGTTAACTGATTCTGATGGTATTACTGATGCTGACTGCTCTTTAGAAATAGTACTTCCGCGTTCCCAAGCAGCCTGTACCTCCGACCTTCGAATTCTGCACAAGCAAATAAAAGTCCACAATGTAATATGATATCGATGATATAAAAAATTTTCACATGATACAATTTAAACAAAAGTCAACAAAACATAAAAAACAGGAAAGATAATAATGATATCACTGCATTTCCGATAGTACATAATTGCCATTAATAACAAAACAATGTACTTTAAAACCTACGGTGTTACAATCGGAATTTGTGCAATTTTCCGTCCAAAATCATCGCCTTTTTTCTTAAACAAACTTTCACCTCGACCAATTCGGAAAGTATCGAGTACTCCTGCTAATGCTTTCTGATCATCACCTGTCATTCTAATAGTGTCACGCGGGACTTCAATTTCGATTATACTGCGGAAAACAGGTAAACTGCCAAGTACATTATCACTCTGAAACCAAAATCCCATAATAGTAAAAAAAAAGGAAAAAAAGAATGATTCGCAGATTTAATGAAAATTCTTGGAGGAGATAACACTGATGGAGTGAAAATAAACCTCAGCAGACAAATGTTCAGCTGATCGTGCGAAAAAGTAGTTAAATACAGGGTGCTCGCCAGGTAATGACTTCAAGGTTCTCGCTCGAGCTTCATTACTCATATCATCCCATCTTTAAAAGGTCATTTAATTTCCATGAAATCTGTTAGGACAAACAAACAAAAAAATGGGTAAATAGAAACGCCAAACAATCTTGTTTAATATATCCAGTGATCTTGCATTTTCATGTATGTTCATTGTAATTGTAAGCCGCCAAATCAACAAAATCTTCTTTCGTTGTTTGAAGCATTAGAACACAACCCCCTAGTCCTTTAATTCTATCCCATACGTGATCATCAGGACATCCATCGATTTTCGTTAAAATATTCACTAGGTTTGAGGCATAAAATAGGTAAAAAACTAATATATAACCTCATCCTGTATATTTTCCAACAAATCGACTCTTCAAATGGTTCCAATTCATCAGCTATTGGTGCATACATTAAACCACTTTTTGTATCCGCGATTCTGTTAATATATGATTTTCTCGCTGGAATTATGGCTTGCCGAATGAAACTTCGCCGAACGAATGGATCCACATCTCGCAAGGAGTGGGCCTAAAAACAACAAAAATAACTGAACTGGGTTGATGAAATTTACTTCAAAAATTTGAATTCAACAAAAGATTTTAGATCACGAAGGGCACCACTATAAGATGATTAGAAAAAAGCATGAGAAGACTGAAGGATGTTAATATGCTACTGGGCTTGAACCAAAATTTATAAAAGAAACCAGCAAAGCGATGAGCTGTCCGGAATTCATGCCAAGCTTTTTCTGCAGCTTTCTTCGCCACCGAAACAATTCTTTACCGGCACTTTCGAGAAGTGCATCCTCCAACACAGCTTCAACGTTTTTCTGGATTGACTGCATGCTACTGGTACTTGCTGTTGTATCCAGAAAAGTTGTTGTTTCCTGACTGGCACTTGTATTCTGCAGAATTTGTCAATTGCTTCCAACTATGCCATAGCAAAGTCTCTCGTCTTCAACATATCCTGCCAGTTGTAGCCAGCAGAAGCAAAAGACAAATAATCATAAACAAATTCTGTGAAGACTTTAAAATTTCTAAGAGTCTGATTCCGACAATTCAATTCTTCTTAAAATTAATTGAAAAAAACATTCTAGAAACCGACATTTTTGAAAACTTACTCGTGATAACGTTGACATATGTTCATCGTCATGCACTATACTTGTAACATTTGATGGTCCAAGTTTTTCCGCATCTTCGATACCTTCTATAAAATCAATCAATTGATATCAGTGACTCAGGTGCTAATAATATGTTTTCAAAAATCCCCATATGATGTTTGATGTAAAATGGTGCAATTTGAGGCAGTTTCTTTTTTTTTTTTTTTTAATGTGAGCGTACATTCCGCTCGAAGAAGATTAGAAGACTTTTTCTTTTTTTTTATCCACAGTGACAAACAGGATATTATGCTTCTTAAAGAAGTATGAAAAGTGCAAAAGTCGGTGACAGAAATGCATGTGTAGCATTTTTAAAGATTTAGAAACTTAAAAATGAAAGTATTACTTATTTACACATAATAGACAACAATAAAAATTTGAAAGAAGAATCGATGAAAGGAGATTTAAATATCCGAGAAAAAACGAACTCCAAATTTCGTGTAAATTTTCGCCCTCAATTTTCTCATTCCATGGATCACGAATACATCGACAATTATTATGTAACATGTAACGACGTCCGCACTTGCTTATAACAGCATTTTGCATTAAAAGACCACTTGATGATCCCTTATCAAAGTTGTGCGTTGCCTTACTGTACAAGTGACTACAGAATTCGGCACCCGTTTCAGTGTCATTTAGTTCGGATGAATCATACACAACCATCGGCACCTGAAATAACAAATTCAGCCATCAAAATCGCTTTTAACATATTCCATTCTTATTGTGGGCAGTTGAAAGATTTTTGTTGGTTAGACTAAGATCTAAAATTCTAAAACCTAACTTACAACGCATCCATTTCTCCTACAGTACTTACCAGACTAAAAGAAAAAGAAATTTTGCAGTTTCTAGGAAAAAGTTTAATATTGCATATGGATACATAATTATGCAACAACGTCCTCAACAAAATAATGACGCTAACGGTCAAATAAGGACTGTTTAGAAAATCACTCCAGTGCATTCTCCAAAAGTAGGATAGGAAAAAGATGGAGACAAATATCAACCTCAGGAAAAGAGTTACTAATAACAGTCATTTTAATATTCCTACTTATAATCTTTCAATATTTACGTTAATGCAATTGTTAACTGAGCAATCGGTGGTAATAATTGTTCTGTTATATCAACTTATAAAAGTAAAGTTAAACAGCAGAAGTATATGTATGCAAAAATCAGAAATAAATTTCCCTGCGAAGCAACATTACCTTCGCTCTTCTTTTTATACAGTTTTCGTGAGCCTTATCGGATCTATTCATGAACTTTTTCACAATCTCACTAGCTTCCAATGCTACTTGTTCATCATCTGTTCCAGAAGATGAATCATCAACGTAGATCGGGAAATCATCTGCATCATAGACATCATCCTTTTTCGCTAGGCCATCTTCCGAACCAATATCAGAATCACTGTTTCCTTCATCCAGTTGTCTTCTCTTTTTCGCCTTATCTCTGCCTTCCTGGAAGAGTAATTGAAAAGGGCACAAGAGAATTTAAAAAAGGACTTCCATTGTTAATGGTGGCAAAATATAAAATATTTAAATATAGGGACTAGGGGTAATAAAGATTTTCAACATCCCACTATTTCAGCAAGCGAATTCGATAAAGTGATGCATAAAATATATATGTGAAAAAAATAAAAATAAAGCGGAAAATATACTTTTTTGTCAACATTTCCTTCATTACCCGAATTCATTCCTTCATCATCTTCATCAGGTGAGGTGTCTTTTCTACCATCTTTATTGTTATCAGACTGAGATTCTGGAAAATCTTATTTTAAGCAAGAACTTTTTCCACTTATGAAACGCTTAATTAGAGTAAACTTACTATCGCCTAGCTTTGATCGAACATCATATGCCTCTGAATGCGTAGCATCCACACGAAACGAGTAAATTCGTGCACTTGCATCAAGTAACGACCCGGCTTGCTAAAAATTTTTTAAAACTTCGCCTTTTAAATCCATCAAGTGAAAGTTACGATTCTGCGTATAATTTTTTCTAAGAAAATTCAAATAACAAAATACAATTTTTGCGCAAAAATTAACTTAACACCTACATATAGGGGTTCTTTTTCAACAACACTCGGTAGTCTATCGATAAGATCTTCCTGAAAAGCACGCGCGGCTAACTGCTTCGCTTTCGTGACAGCAATTTTCATCGCCTCCAACAAACGTTCATCTTTCGCCGGATTTTCTAGAAATTCAGCAACTTAGCCACGATTGTAGTTCAAGTAGAATTTAAAAAAACAGAAAGACGAAACCAAACTTCAACTAGTGTTAAGGAATAATAAAATCAAGGTTAAGATGAGGAAAATTTACAATTTCACAAACTTAAAGTTTTCTTTGTTTTTCTATCCAAAATTCTCCGAAAATTTAAAGGAAGCTTATCAAATGGGTTATACCTTTTTCAATAGATCTGGCATTCATATCCATTAAAATTTTTTGCCGTTCCTCATCTTCATCCTTCTGTGTACGCAGTACTGCCGATATACGACGTGAACCACGTCGATTATCTTTTTCCAAGGCATCAAATGTTCGATCGACCTTCACAAAAAAGGAAAATAAGATTCGAAATATACGAAGTTTTTAATTTACTCAATTGACTGTACAATCAATTTTAGTTCGAACATTTCACTCCATTTTCGTATTCAGTTAACCGAAAACAAAGGAGGAAATGACGTATGAAATGTAAAATTATTAGTTTAAAACTGGAAACAAAGCGGAAAATGACGTATGAAATATGAAATCACTAGTCTAAAATCAATGAAATGCTTGAAGAACAACTTACTTCACTATCCAAATCATCATCATCATCATCAATACATGCCCGACGTCTTGGCATCGTTTTCGTCGTTATCGAAAGATAAAACTATGACAGATAATTAAAATGAAAAAATACCCTGATAAGCTCCTGTAATTTGCATACAAATTAGGAATGGAAATTTTCTTCACATTCATGCTGATGTGCGAGATGATGCATTGCGACGCTCAAATATCGCGAAAATGAATGACGTCGATAAAAGTAATAGATAAAATCCTCGTGGCATTGTAAAGTGTTTTTTTATTTTCAATGTAAAATTGAATAAAAACCTAGTGCAATAAAAATTAATCCAAATATTAATTATTGTATGGCATCTCTATTGATTTTAATTTACGCAGTTTAATCCTTAGGTCATTCATCTTCATAAAACAAATTCACTCAGTCGTAGGCTAAAGGAATAAAGTGGAGGCATTGAAAAATTGGAATTAATTTCTTAATTACTATGTTATATTGATGTAGTCAACAATGCCGTATCATTCATTTCCATTTTTTGTCTTTATTTTCCTTTTAAACGATGACAACTGTAAAATCATGTTAGAATGGTAATAATTTTCATTTTCTTTACGATTATAAAATTCAATTTGACATGTCCAACTTTTTCTTTCCTGAACCCCTTCCGGATGTCTAATTTCTTCCTAACGCATACTGTAGCTTTGTTTCGAATAATTTTGTCCATCTGAATTTGTGCAACTTCACTCTGGAAGTTCGTTTCCGGAAAATTCTCCTTAATCCGGCACATTCATCCTGGATATCTAACTTTATCGCCTCGCATATCCTGAACTTAAGAACGTCAGCAAACCACAAACATCTCCCGCTATCGATTCTTCCTCTTCCTCGTTCCCACGCAATATGCAACAACCTCATCTCATCCTATCAGGGGTCAATTGATAACGTGTAATCAGTCTATGCCACTTTATTAGTCACCATGTAGTAGGGATTTTACGTGAACTACGCGCTTTACTAAACGTGATCTGGTGTAAAGCTCACGTACGAAAAGTATCCTATTCCTGGCATTGAGGTAAAAAAAAAATGACATAATAGTATAAAAAAGACAGAGAGGAGAGACGAAATATTACGAGAAGTGAAGATACGCTGACGTAAAGAATATCTTTCTATGCCCTATATTTGTTACAGACAGAGTGAAAATTTCTTTCAAATATTTAGGGAATGTTGTAATAAAAGAGATATTAGGAACTGATAATATGAAAGAGGCATTGGAACGATTGCGAAAAAGAATGAGACGAATGATATAGCGTTCGAGATGATGAGAAAGTAGGAATGAAATTATTGAAACATACTGTATTGAGAGATCGAAACAAAAAGCTAAATAGTTTTGTATGAGATGTTACAGGAAAGAAAGAGATGGAATTTGACGGGGAGGAAATTTGGGTTACGCCAAGATGACAATGGGACATTCGGGATGTTTTCATCTAGACTTCTTTTCGTGTTACGTGTCATTTGCGTGGGTTGCACATTGTGTCACGTGAATTCTCTGTTATGTTAATTGCGTAAGTTTTAATGTTGCTTCAGTAACGTGATACTCCATGTTAAAAGTTACACGTCAATCATTAAGGTTTCACATTACATTGATTCCAGTAGATTTCATGTTACGTTAATCATGGAGGAAGTCGTGTAAGAATTAATTGCATATGTTACGCATTACGTTAATTACGTATATCAGTTCTCTTTGGGTTACACGTCTGTTACCTGAATTACATTATGTATTGATTACGTGGTTTTCTTCTCCTCCTATATTGGTTATTATAGTTCCCCGTAATCATTTTGGGAATCTCCAAAAAATTTTAAACTCAACGAAACAGCAGTAGTAACAATTCAGGAACACAATGGTACATAATATTTTTACCTCCACGTTTACGCATCTATTCGTTTTTTGTTGTATGCTCATAAAAGTTCAAAAGAAAAAAACAAACCATACTGTCCATTTGTTTGCTGGTTTTGTAGTGTAGTATCATTTTTATATTTTCTGCTTTTATGTAGAATTCTTCTGGATGTATGCAATAGAGAATTTCCGAAATGACTGACTTCTGATTGACTTTTTCTGCTTCTGCTTATTCTGCACTCTTTCGGATATTTTGTTCTGATCCCGGTTTCTGGGCATCACTTTTTTCTTTTCAGGATGTCATCCATGGAAGTGATTACATATTTGTTATTGCTATTGCAACAGGGTATCCAGCTATGCTCAACTTATAAAGCAGTCGATGAGTCAGTTCTGTTCAGGTCTGAGGCTTAAAAAAATTGTTTTCCAAATAATTAGATTAGCACCGTTTTGAATCTGATTTCAAGCATCAGTATAAATTCGTACTTGGAGGATTGTTTTGACTTTTGACGCATATGGTGCAGGTATTTAGCGTCCTGAATCCAGAAATAACATAAATTAGAAGTTGAAAAGCACAACACCGAAATGCATTTGATGAGACACTGTACTTGAATTATTGCATGGTTTAAAATGATTTTATGGACGCGATAGAAATGTTAACATAAGTTAAATATGATGGGCAGATTTGAATACCGTTATTTGATATTTTTGATCGTAAATATTAAATCGAAACATTCAGGATAGACTGGAAAGGCAAATCGGCAACACCAAAGTATCTTGTTGATATTAAAGACGATTGGTTAACAAATCAACCGTATCTACATATAACTAGTGGTAACGATGAAAAGTATCTCTGTACGCTACCAGTCATTCCAGCTCAGGTTCATGTTCTTTTTAGTTCTATTCTTATGTGTTCTTTTATTATTTGGAATACTTCAAAAAGTCCTTTTGTTGTAAAATTAAAGAAGTAGGAATCTAATTCAAAATGGAAACTGTATCTGAAGAATTTCTATTACTTATGGGCCTTCAAGGACTGTTTATTTGAGCGTAAAAGATTTCATTCACTGGACAAATATAGTAGTAATTTTTGAATATCTTTTTTTTACGCTAGGACAAACAGGCAGTTCAGTCATATGTGGGACCATCACCAGCTGAACTTATTCAATTGTTGTATGATAATCGGGTATGCTCATATTGGCTGGATGTATATTGGACATATGAATTATGTCATGGACGCTATATTATGCAATATCATGATAACAGAGAAACGCAAAGAAATATTAGAAGTGAATATTATTTAGGGAATTATGGTCGTGAACAGTCTAAATTGGTATCATTTTTAAGCTCATTTTCTTGTTATTGTTGGAAACACTGCGAATTGTTTTTACTTTCGTGCTTAAATGTAAATTTAATGTTTGCAGATGGAACAGTCTGTTATCACTGGATGAAGGACAATATAGTTTTAGCTAATACACTAATTCATTTCTCATTTCGCTATATTGTGATCTGTGTTCTAGGGCATTATGGAATTCTTTTTATAATCAGATAAACTGTAGATCAGAGAAGCTACCATTGTTAAAAAGTGGGAAGACAAATATAAGTTCAGTCGTCCTTGAAATCGATTCTTTCGTACAGTCCTCTATTTTAGGATTTGTTTTACTGACGATTGCAGAAGAAATGCGTCTTATTTGTGCTTTTGATTCACAGCTTTTTTCAGGATGATAAGAATTTCGATGAAATGAATCCACCAAAACGCAAAATTGATAACAAAGTGCAGCCGTATTATCCAGTCACTTATAGACAGGGAACCGTTTGTGATTTAACTGGGAAACCAAGGAGTACGGTCGTTATATATGTCTGCGATCCGGTTTGTATGCCTATTCTATGAAATTTCAGAATATCTAAGTAAAGAGACCTTTTGAAACCGCTTCTTAACGTATTGGAAATCCTGGTTTTTCTTTTCCAACATTTCTGAAGCTTTTTTTTAGACATTATCAATTGTAAGGAAAAATTATCAAATGGTCTAGACAATATCTATTTGATGAAACTATAGATTGCTTCAATTTCCAAATACCTTTCAGGATGCCAAAGATCAAATATATTCTTTTGCTGAAACAGCTTCTTGTACTTATGAATTGGTTGTATATACCAGACAGTTGTGCTCGCATCCATCTTTTCGGCCATTGCCTACTGTTGATCACGAAATTGTTTGTTATTCGAAGGATCCACATAAGGAGTATCCAAAGCCAAAGCAACTTCTGCAATTAGAAAGGGAGAGTGAGATAGCATTGGAAAGAGTAGGTTTAATTACACTGTACGACATGAATGGTTCTCGAATTTAGGATTCAACTTTTCTCGTTTACCTTACCTTAGGTCATCCATTTTATTGGTTTTCTGGGGTAGGATTAGAAATACTCTTTTTATCAAGTTTATCGGTACTGTTATCTTTTCATTCTGCATTTAACAGAATTAAATTTTCTGGAAAATTCATCTCTTTCAGGAATATAAATCAACCTTTCAACATAAAAAATCTACAAATGTTGACATTAATGAAGAAGATGAAGAAAACGGCGATTATGATGATGAGTTGGATACAACAATTATTATAGCCGAGCAAGGGTCACCAAAATCTGACAGCTTACAACATGGTAGGTTTACCTTGTCATGATAATAACTGGCTGGTGGGAGAAATGTAATACTGAACATTTCTTCAACAACTTTTAACTTTTATCAAATATTATCATGTTCTTGTGTTGTTTAATATACCTTTTGTTGTTTTTGTTCTCCTTTCACTTTTATACATCCTCGTTTTCTTTCCAGTATCCTCATCAATTCCCGTAGAAAAGCCGGTGATTGATTTGGATCGTTTGGTTCAGGAAAACAAATATTTACTAAATGGGAAGCATTGTTTGTATGGTGGTGGAGTGGGATGGTGGAAATATGAATTTTGTTTTGGAAAAAGTGTAGGTTTTTATTGATAGATTAAGGATTTTCTTCTAATAATTTTACATGAGATATAATTTTCGTTGTTTTTTAGTAATTAAACCGTAAGCAAAAAGGTCTTTGAACCAATAAAATTAATAAATAAAAATCCGCTAGTAATGGAAGTGGGAATGTTACAGGTAATACAGTTTCATGAAAATCAGGAAGGTGAGCGAACTGAAATCCTGTTAGGTCTTTTCAACTTCGATATACATAAACATTGGATTGATGATAATCCTCAGAAGAAACCGTTAAAGGTTACTTTTCCTTAATCTTAGATGACATTCTTGGATTGAGCTGTCAAAGTTACCTACCATGATAATTGATTTGGACGCTCCAGTAATATATAAACAAATAATACAGCCTTCAACGGTGTAATCAAATCGGAAACAATGTCCCAAATTTGTTGAAGAACATCAAGGGAATATAACCTTTGAAAATCTAACGGCAGAATGACTAACGGCACGGAAAAATCTGGAATTCCCTTTGATTTGGACTGCTAATCCATTGCACTAACTGACTAGATAAATATTTCGATTGAAACTGTTTCAATGCGTTCATGTCGTTTTAGATTGATGGTCAGGTAACTCAGGTTTCACACTTATATGCTGGTGGTGCGTTTTGCGAGAAGACTAATATTCACAGGTTTACCTTTTTTGCCTTTGGCCTTATTGAATATAATTGAATGTAACAATTTTTTTTGCCTTTAGTTTAAATTTACCAAAAAAGTTAGACTAATTCAATTTCAGAAGTGTTGAAGTGCGTATTCGTTGTCGAATATCGAAAGGAAGTCAAACAGCCGTAACCCTGTACTTATTGGAGCCTCATACATGTCAGTATGTCTTGGGAGTCGAATCATCTCGTTTTTGTGAACTGCTGCAAACTGCTGATCAGTACGGACTGATTCAATTACCAGAAGCGTAAAGCAGATTATGATTGGTTGTGGTACAGTTAAAAGAGATGGGAAGAGAATTGGGGTAGGTCGATCCTCTTAGTGAAGAATTTTCATTTACTGTAATTTTTTCCTTGTCACTTTATTTTTAAACATTTTGCGATTTGAATGGTTTAAAATTTGTCTCTAAATGGCGGTCTCGTTGTATTTTTTAAAACGAACCTTGATTTGGGGTATATGTTGCCTAGTTCATACAGTCTTTCAATGTAATATTTTTCATTGTTATCGAGACATGATCGCGTGTTTGTCGATATCAGAGTGTCTGTCCATCATTCCTATCCCCTTTTTCCACAGCATGCGCGCAACATTTAGGAATACCGCCAAAAAAATCCTTGAATGGTTTCTCTTGGTGATATTCAGAAGTTTCAACGGTTATCTTAAGACTAATGGCCCTGAGAGGTTCTTTATAATGAATTTTTTTGCTGAGTTCAAAGTCTCTCGTTTCAATTTTTAAAATTTTCTTTTGTTTTTGAATTTCACGCGATCACTGTTCATTCCGCTCTTTACTGTGATTTATTTAAGTGATATTCACTATATTGAAGGGTACCACTGTCTTCGGAACAGATTGAATTTCAAATTTTATAGCGTTTTGGAAAGTTTGCTGCAACAAGCAATTTCTCTATTACGTAATCGTTTTTTTTCCATATTTTGGTTTATTCTTTTTGAAGTAAATATATGTTGTTGAAGCCAGTGGTTAGTTTAAATAAAGTATAAGTCAGAGATCGATGGTCGATTTAGTATGAGTACTGTTATCAAGTGGTGTATAGTTTGGGTAGTGATACATTTTGTTCTGAACAATTTCAGGCTTAATATGGATTGATGAAATCATTTTGAACATTTACCCATGAAGTCATTTAAGCGTCTAATTCTTTTCAACTTCTCGTAAAAACTTTTTATTACATTGATAAGAAATCCCTTAAAATGCATGTAAAGATAATGTGCCGCAGGTTAGTGCCTTTTTAATGGATATCCATGTCGTGGTTGTAAAATTATGTTCATTGTAATTTTGTACATACCCTTATTTTTCTTGTAGCTTCTCGCTTATTCTCTTACTCAAAAATGTCTTTTAAATTATTCATATTCATAAGGATAAATTGTATCTGTGATTTCGGGAATATCTAAGTTTAAACTTGGTGTTAAAGGTCAGGGATTGTGGCTAGAGTTCAGTGTATAATTTAGATTTGTTTGAAAGGTTTTATCTCTGTTTTCTTCATTTGTATATTTATTTCTTGCTTTTGAAAAAAATACGTAGGCCATTGCAAATGGAAACTCTTTTTATTTTCGAAGAAAATTACTGTTTGCATTTCAGTACCCAACCCAAAAAGCGCTGCCAAATTTTTCGGGCGTTTATTGAGGTGTTGTCGTTCCGAAAATACAGCAAAGGTGCAAAATATTCATCATAAATGTTTTAGTAACCAATTTGAATAATTCCACTGAGCAGAATCATTCTATTAAGAAAACTTCTGCCAGCTGAAAAGAAGACTGTTAAAAAGCAATCGATGATAAGTTTTTTAGACTTATGCAGCAGCTGTTTACTGTGACAACTTTGTTCTTGCTGTTCTTTGTTATGTAATATTTGATTTGTTCAGTTTTTCAATTATTTTGCAATGGAGTTGCATATGTTTTCTTTGGCTTTTGCTATATGCTGCTGATAAATCTGGTTCTTATGAAAATGGAATGACGATTCATGGTCTTAGGTTCCAGCCTACTTGAAAAAGAGCGTCATATTTTTCACTGTTATAGGATTTAAGAATTATAGGATTTTAATTTTCCAGTTGTTTCAGATTAGTATCTGATTTCGAAGTTGAATGGTTTGTAAACTGAAGTATTTCTCGAAATTTCCTTTATTTTCAGTAGTTTTTACTATGTCATATGAAGTGTCAACGGGACCTAAGGATACTAATGACAAAAGTTTACCGATGAAGGACGAAGATAAGTGTTCGGAAGACAAAAACGCGATAATTGCTGGTTTACAGCAACTACGTGAGCAACAAAAAAATATCGTGATGGAGTTGACGCGAGTAGAAGATGATAAACGCGAGCATGAGTAAGTTGTTTTGCCTTTTTTTTAAGACTGAATCAATCTGAGATTTGGAACACACCTGGATTTTTACTGGTTAATGCTCTTTTTTATTTTCTTAATCTGAGAAAAGACCACGGCAATGATTATATCTGCTTATTCTATATCCTTTTTCTCCGGTTACTTAATTAGTAGTAAATGTACGTGTACCCTCACGAAATCGTTGCGAGATGATTGACAAACTTTTTGGCTACGACTGTCGTAAAAATGAATTTCTTTGTTTGCATTAATTGGAACTTTTATTTCACGGCGTGTGATTTTTTCTTCTTTGTCGACGTTTTAAAGCTTTTTTGTTTTGTTTTACACTTTATCTTATCTTCGAAATCTTGAAATCTTAATACTATGGTTAACAAAATATTGAAAAAGACGTTATAGACGTGTCTTGCAAGTGCTAAAAAAGATGGAAGGTGATAGAAAATGTTTTCGAATGGTGGGCACGACATTAGTGCAGCATGAAATTAGAACTGTTTTACCTATATTGGAATCAACATTGCAAAATGTAAGCCCTTTATTATATTAATTTATCAATTCTGGCTGGCATGGATTCATCTGACCCGTGAAAATTTGTTAATTTTGCCGCACTAATTTCATTTTTTTGACATAAATAATTGTGAGATATGGTTTATTTTCATGCATTTATCAGTATAAGTCCTGAGGTAGTATGATAACTTTATTCTGGCTTCTTTGTCTCTGACAAGCAGTTATGATGTTTTCGAAATCACTGTACTATGATGTTCTTCCAGATAAGTTTTTGTTATTGGAGTTGAAAGCAGGAAAAGCTTAATAGAATAAGTTCTGATTAGCTGTTACTGTGATAGTTTAGTTAAAAATGGTCTTAGCAGGCAGATTTCCTCTAAAATATATTTTCCCTTAAATTGTTCGTCAGCTTTCTTACCCTGATTCACTGATACTTTCAGTGGTTTTGGGTGCTTTATCATATCCATCCTTTTGGTTTGAAAGAGAATTTTACACTGTACGAGAATGTTTTTGATTAATTTCATAGTTTGAAACTTCTCCCCTTATAATATCTCTCAGTAGTAGTGCATTCATCTTTCGAATCATTGATTGGTTACAGTTAAAATATATTAAGCTCTCGTTAAAGAAGAATTAGTGAGAGTGTCATTGATAAAATTCAAGGGAAAATATCACTTCATTTGTCTTTTTCAGCTGGATGCATTAGTTGAATCAATGAAAGATAATTTGATAGAAAAAGGGAAAGAAATGCAAGAATATACGGACAAGCATAAAATTCGTTATGTCAGTGAAAAAGAATTGAGGGAGGAATCTGAACGTAGAATGATGAAGAAATGATAATGAATGAAGCTTTCATCATAGTGCCAATTTTTCATATTATTTGGAATATATTTTTATGACTGTCACTTCATGAATAAAATCATAGTTCCAATGATAATGGTATTTTTAATGAATTTTTTGGCTGTTGACGAGAGAAAATATAAAGAATAAGGAGTGTCTGCTAAGAAAAAATACCTGCTATGAAACTCTTGCTAGTTATGATTCATTAAACGATGTTATCCACTAAAGTTTGAACGACTTTTTGCGACTCAGTAATATCTTTATGATTTTGATTTATCAGTTTCCTGACTTTTTCTTTTCCTAATTTAGGTTTTGGAAGTGCTTGTTATTAATTCCTATTTTTTGTTGACTTGAACATTGACTATCAGTGCAATATTTGCTTTATAAATAAAAATCATTATGTGAATTCCGATGTGAAAATAATTTTCTCCTGAATTTGAAAACATCTAATGGATTGTCGATAATCTATCTGTAAGCAATAGATCATCATCGTTTCTTTCACTTCGCAAAATCAGTATTGGTAGTTGTCTTAAAATTAGAACTTTAAAGAATATTCAGACAGTTCTAATTCTTGATCTCAAGATTATTCAACGTTTAAAAATGTGTAAGCTACAGAATAGGCCAAGTAAGTAAACATACATACCAATGTATTAATTCTATTTTAAAATAATATTGCCACTATAAGCTCCATTTTTTTCATTAGTTTTTCAATTTTTTTTTTTTTTTTTTTTTTTTGCATATGCCTGGGATGTCTTATCTAACTTTTTTTTTTCTCATAGTTTTTCTTCATCTGATGTAAATATATGAAATGAAATATGTATTACATCTGTTGGAATTTGTCATTTGCTTGTAAACATCAAATTTTTTCATTTTCAATATTCTTTCATAAACATATCTAAAAAAAAAAGCCTTTTCTATAAAATTTTATCCTCTGTCTAATACAACTCGAAGAATATGAAGATTTTAGAAATAAAGCGTAAAGAAAAAGAATTACAGAAGTTGAATGAATTACAAAATTCGCTATCTGAATCATTGTTTCATTTACTCAGGTAATAATGATTCATCGAATTGTTCATCAAATGAATCCATATTTTCGGTATCTGGGCGTCGTATACCTGTTCGTGGTCGAGGTGGTGCTGGTCCGAGAGGGTCGCTATAAGTATAGTCAGCTGGACCTGAAATTCCATCATTCTGATTGTAAACTAACTTCATATCTGATATATAATTGATAATGATTATCCGTAATAATTAGTAATATACTCATTTCTCTGCGTGGAACGTGATATTGCTCATCGTTATCAGACGTTAAACGAACGCTTGCTGTTTTTAGTTGTGAGTGTGAATTGGATAATTGTCCATTATTACCTAAATATAGAGGGTAAAGATTATACATGGTATAACACACAGGAATTGTTTCATAATGAGATTACCTGAAACAATTGCTTACCTTAACAAGTAAGCAATCATTGTTTAAAGGTCAAAGCGTAATTAAGAATGACGGTTAAAGTCTGACCTTATTATCATCGTATTAGCATATAAAAGTGCTCAGTGTGTATTATACGAGAAATTTCTTCAACCCAGTTCAGTAGAACGAAAGTCAATACAGATGCATCATTGCACATTTTTCAATAGGAATAAGATGATAATACATAGAATCGAACTTCGGTACATTCACCCACTATTACATTTCTAACCCACTACACTAATGCTTTGCTAACAAACGTCATCAATTAAAGAAGCTAATTATTAATTTTAAATTTTAAAAGTTTCAAACAATAATATCGGTTTATCATTATACATAATTGACACGTTGTATTGTAGCAATCATAAATGTATCATTTCACAAACCACTACTACTACTACTGCAACTACTACCGCTACTACTATTACTACTTACCAATACTATTACTGCTACTAGTACTGCTACTGCTACAACTGTTACTATTATTACTACTTACTGTCACTACTGTTACTACTACTTCTACTGCTACTACTGTTACTACTGCTACTACTACTACTACTACTACTACTACTGTTACTACTATCGTTACTATTATTGCTATTATTACTACTACTACTACAACTATCACAATCTTTTCTTTTTGTTCTGATAGCATAAGATGAAAAATCCTATACATTTTGTTTCACTGTTTTATTATACAAATTTTCGAAAAAGCAAAAGAAAAATTACGATTTCAAAATTTTCAACAACTAAAAATGGACTATGATTATGATTACGATGAGGGAAGGTGAAAATACCTTGCGCAAAATTATCTCCTGATTGAATTAGCGGCGTACAATGCCTTCGTTGACTAGAATCTACTTCACGTTGCATTCTTAATTGACGTACCTTTTCTGTCTTTGATAACTGAAAAATTAGAGAGATAATACAGACTTGCTTAGTTAGAACTTAGAGATTAATTAGATTAACTACGTTAGGTTATTTTATTGTAAAATTAGAAGATTAAGATTATAGGCTTAATTAGAAGACTACTGATTAAATAATGGCCAATAATTAATATTCCTGTGATAAGGCCATCAAATGTCCCAACTTGTTCGGTAAAAAATGAAGAATGATAGAAGTTAAGGTAAGTTAAATAAATTTGTGCTTAAGTTCACTTTAATACTTTTTATGAATGGAAATTATAAATTGAAAAATCTGAAAATTATTTGAATAAGTATGATTGGAAGCATGGTAACATAGGTTAGATTTTTGCTTTTTTTTATCTTTTTTTTTTCTCCAATTTTAGACATTTCAGATTTTCAAAGCAGAGCGAAAATGGAGAAGGAAAAAGACAGATAATATTTTCAATTTTACTTTATATTCATCTAAATTAATGTACAAGATATTTTAACCTTTTCCATATATTCCTTAGCTTCAGGCATTCCAAGATCGGTACATATTCTTGCCAAAAATTTTAAACCTAAAATTGGGAATTATGAAATTCATTCTTTCGGTTGTAGTAAACAGATATTCAACTTTCTTGAAATAATATAAACAATAACAGATAATAAAGGTAAATGAGATTAAGCAAACATTCAATATTTTCCGGAAATCTTCCATGTATTTGTTGGTACAATTCAAATGCTTTTTGATAATTTCCGGAACGTCGTAAGCATGATGCCATCATCAATTGCCATTTAATCTCATTTGGCCTGAATTTCCTTCCTTTATAAAGTAACATGAGTTAAATCGATAAAAGGATAATATCAGATTGATAATAAGGTAATATCAGATTAATAACATGATAAACATCATGCATCAACTCTTCTAGAATGTTACAACTCGAAAATCGGTTATTTGAAATTAAAAGAGATTTGATAATCTGATACTTGAAATAAGAATTAGAGTTGTGCAGTTTGATAATCTGGTACTTGAAATAAGGATTACAATTGTGCAATTCGATAATCTGATACTTGAAATAAGAGTTAGAGTTGTGCAATTTGATAATCTGGTATTTGAAATAAAAATTACAGTTGTGCAATTCGATAATCTAATACTTGAAATTTTTTTACCGCTTATCCAAATAATGTGAAAAAAAAAATTACGGAATGTATGCAAACAACATTCGAATTAAATAATTTACTCACTCCATGATCGAAGCTTTTTCGAAATAAGTTGCCGCTTTTTCCGGATATTGAGCATCGATATAATACGCTCCAAGCCATTCAATTGTAGCAATGTTAGAAGGAAAATATCGATAACTCTAAAATTTTCATATTTTCTTTCCATTAATTCCCTTTTAATATTACAAATATTTCCGTTTTTTTTTTTGTATTCATCAAAATATTTTTAATGAAATATTTGTAATTAAAATTTAATCAAAAACTTGAATATCCAAATTTTATTTGTTTGCGTAAAATCATATCCTCGAATGATTAAAGGCAAATTTTAAGCAAATTTAGCTTAATTTTTTTTCCCACTTCTAGTTTTCTATCAGTACTTAAAAAAAGAAAAAAAAAGATTGTGGAAATTCAGCTAATTGTTAAATTAATCAAAGGAACTTTTATCATTTATCATGAGTCTATTTGAATGACTTATGCATGAATAGTATTGATGGTATCACTCGAAAAGAAGTCTCCATTGAGTGTTATTATATTCCTGACAATAAATTAGGAATGTTCAATTTTCTTTTTTTTTTTTTGAATATAATAGGATTGTGCAATTTATATGTTTCATAATTAATTTTCTATTCAAATGTAATGGTTCAATTATAATTTTTTTAAAATTTAATCCCTTTCTGCAGCAATTCGTTCAAAATATTTTGATAAAACACTTTTTTCCGGAAAGAAATCCGGAAATCTTACATCATAATGACACTGAAACGCTTGGCTTTTATCACCTTCGGCATCATAAATACTAGCCAATTTCGATAATATCGCAGGATCTGTAGGAGCTAAGCTATTTGCTTGACTATATAATTCTATTGCTTGTGCTGTATCTTCCAATAATTCATAACTGTAATTTTTAGAAGTTAATACCGATAATAAATTTATACTTAATCCATGTAACCCTTTTAAATAAGATCAAAAAGAACGATTATGTAGAAAATTATAGGTATGGTTTTCTTTTTTTTTGATTAGTTTTTTGAAATAATTTTTTAATTTTTAAATTAAATCTTACTAAATTAATAATCCTGAAAAAAAAATTAATATGTCGTGAAATTTCTTAAACTTAAAAGATTAACATGCCTTTACTTAATTTTTAATTTTATTTAACTGAAATTTCAATAAATATGCAAAAATATAAATTAAACGAGAAGAAATTTTAATTCGAAGAAAAGAAAAAAAAGTTTGAAGAAAAAGAAAAATCAATATTTGCAAATGAAACTTACATTGAAGCAAGTTGACAAAGTACTTGAACATTATTTAATAAAATATTATGCAATTTATAGAAACATTCCAGTGCAGCTTCTAATTTGCCTTGTAAACGTTGAACATAGCCAAGATTGTAAAGTGCTTGTAAACATGATGCCTTTAAAATTTGAAAAAAAAAATACCAAGAATTTAAATATTTCTTACTTATTTTTCATTTAAAATTGTCACAAAAATTTAATTAATGCATTAAAATTTATATTAAGTTAACATTAATGATTCAAAATATAAATTTTTAAATAATTAATATAAATAAATTCGACAAATTTTAATATGAACTAATCATTTTGTCGCATGAACATATCGATGATATTTGTTAGGATTAAATGTTAGAACAAGTAAAAAGCAAAATATAATCAAAATGATTGATTTAATTGGTTGTTTGAGTAAGCTCAGTCATTTTTTCAACGATCAGATCACATCAGATCAGATTAGATCAGATCAGATCAATCACGTTGATTAATTTACAATTGCTCCAAAATATCCACATGATGATGCAATCATTAGAAGAGTAATAGAATAATTAGAGTGATTTACTTGCTATACTTACTTCATTACTTAATGCTTCCTTATAGTATTGTGCAGCTTTTTCTAGATCACCTAGTACGAAGAAAATATTCCCGCGATTTACCAACGCATTAGCATTATAACGATCAGCAGAAAGTGCTTGTTCAGAGTATTGTATAGCTTCTTCCAATTTTGGTCCTCCTTGCTGAAATTGTTGATTAATATATTTCTTGCATAATTAAAATGATATACTTAAAGAGTAAATGAATTAAAAAGAAATTTAATGCTTGTAAATAAATTAACGATTATTGAAGTTCAAATTAATGTTTTAAGTAAATGATATGTAACTTATAACATTAGTGCGTGCAAAAGAAATTGATGAAAATTCAAAACAGTTTTATTAAAATTCAAATTAATAGTTATTTTTCAATTAATACATTAAATGAAATTTTTAAATTTATCAATTTAAGCTTTTAGGAAAAAAATGATAACATTTAGACTTACTAAAAGATTTATTACAGCAAGACTATTTGCTGCTGCGCTTGCTACCTTATCCTCCTTGTTGTTGAATGACATTAATACCTTAATTTTCCTTTTTTCTTAAATAATTAAATCATAAAATTATTTCCTTTAAAGCATTTGCTTTTTTCATCAAAATTAATCAATCAATTTTCATATCAATTTATTATCAGATATGCTTCTTTTTCATTAATAGAAAATGATCGATTGTTTTGGATCATTTCAAATTCCTAAAGATTACGAATAATTAATTAGTGTATTAAGCTAAAATACAGAAGTAAAATTAACACACTTTTGTTGCATTCGTTATGTCACCTTGTTTAAGTAATACGACCACTTTGCTCATTTCAATTTCCATTGCTAATGGCGCATAAACTGATTGTCGAATTGCTTCCACACACCATTTGTAACCATCTGATACTCTAATTAGCAAAATGAGAAGAAAACCTTAATGAGTATTATTTTAAAGCTATTGATATTACGAGGATATTTCTATATGAAATGTTTGATTTTTTTTATTTTAATTGATGATGAATATATAATTTAAGGCATGATTAAAGCCTAATTCGATTAGAAAAAATTTAAATTTAAACAAAATTTCATCCAAATTTTTAGAATTCAAAATAATACTTTTGTTTTCCCAAAAAAAAAAAAAAAATAAATA